AGGCATAGATTTTTTTAATAATATTTCCAAGATTCCTTAAAATAATATTTTTTGTGGCATAACACAAAGTATGGATTTTTTAGTAATATTTCCAAGATTTCTTAAAATTATATTTTTTGGTATTTGGCATTGATTTTTGATAATAATATTGATTTTTTATAATAATATTTCCAAGATTTCCTAAAATAATATTTTTGTAGGATAAAGTCCATACCATACGATAGGGTGTGCACTTTTTAAAATAGTATGTGGCATAACTCAAGGCCGGGGTTTTTAAATTAAAATATTCTCTAGCATAATCAAAAGCGTGGATTTTTTAAATTTTTTTCGTGCATAATCCAAGGTGTGGATTTTTAACATTATTTTTTTGAACATAATAAATTTTTCGTTGCATAACCCTCTAAACTACACAATTCATTTGTTGTCTTACTAGTAATAAATTCTTGAAAGCATAGCGTAAAATGTGCTAAATTCTCCACATTATCATAATTATATTAGAATAAATTCTTTGTCATTTTTAATTATTTAAGAGGAATTTCCAAATTTGTCCTCTGACAAAATTAAATACAACACACAGACATGTACACTTCTCGTATTTTGCGTAACTTTGATTACAATAAAATTCCTTGTAATATGTAAATTATTTGTAACCGGGTGATAAATGACAAATATTTTTAATATAATATACAAATATGCCCTATCTACCCCATCTTTCCTGACATTCATTTATTGTAGCCATAGTTGAAAATTATGTTTCTCCTACATTAGTTTTGTAAAATGTTGTATTTTCACCACAATTTTATATGTTGTGGTTTTCCCATTCAAAACATAATGAGTTTGAAGATGAAAGAGTTATGCCACAAAATAAAATAGGAATCTCAATTATAGAATCCTTTATTTGTTATTATATTTATCCTTGCACACCCATTTGTTTTACAAATTGGAAGGAAAATTTCTGTTGATTTTGAAATTCTTTTGAAAATATTGTCAATTAGAAATTTATTTTGTTGTTTTTTTTTCATTCTCTAAAATAATGAAAACTAAGAAACCTCAATATGAAATTACTGAATTGGAAAATTTTACAGGATTTTTGTTGTAGTAGTATTATTATTTATGTGTGTATTATCAAAATCATATATCAAATCTATGAATAAATAAATAGTGTACTTTTGAGCTATTGCAAATGTGTAAAATATTTTTGATCTCTCAGATGGGGTATTCATACACACGTATGTGTTAGATTTTTGTTGTTGGTATGTGTTAGATGTTTTGATGAATATGCTAAGAATTTAATCCGATTAATCTTTTGACAAAATATTTCTCAATAAATCAATTGCAAACATATTTGAGGAATTTATTAACCAACACTAAAAGTTAAGTTAATGGAATGAATCAAAATATTTATTTTGGGTTATAGGGGGATCAAATTTTGTTATGTAAAATCTACATGGGGAATATATTGAGGTTGTTAGGTTGGACAAAAAATTTAGTTTACCAAATAAGGATAAATATATACAACACATATAAAAACAAAGGCCGAAGCTATACATCTGTCCGTAAAATCAGTTGACTGTCAATTACAATATCATTTGGTAGTTTATGAGTCTGACTACCAACCAAAAAAAATAGTTCAAAATAAGTTTGATTTTTAATATTTTGGAAATTCGTAATATAGTGATCGGTATTCCACAATAGCCCAAGACGTGATTTTTTTTTTAAATGAGTGGATTATTTTCAATAATTGTTTTTATTATGAAACTCAAGGCTTTCATTTTTTAAAATATTAATTTTTGTAACATAACTCAAGGTGTACATTTGTAAATGTTGTTTATTAAAGCATAATTCAAGGCGTGCAATTTTTAAAAAAATTATTGTTGAATAATCCAGGGCGGGGATTATTAAATTAATATTGTTTGTATCATAATTCAAGGCGTGGATTTTTAAAATAATATTTTCTTGTATCATAATTCAAGGCGTGGATTTTTAAAATAATATTTTCTTGTATCATAATTCAAGGCGTGGATTTTTAAAAAAATATTTTCTTGTATCATAATTCATGGCGTGGATTTTTAAAATAATATTTTCTTGTATCATAATTCAAGGCGTGGATTTTAAAAATAATATTTTCTTGTATCATAATTCAAGGCGTGGATTTTTAAAATAATATTTTCTTGTATCATAATTCAAGGCGTGGATTTTTAAAATAATATTTTCTTGTATCATAATTCAAGGCGTGGATTTTTAAAATAATATTTTTTTCAATACCAACAAGGCGTGGAGTTTTAAAATAATATTTTTTTTTTTTTTGGTATCATAATTCAAAGCGTGGATTTTCAATGTTTGATTTTAAATATTTTGGATATTTTTAATGTCGTGTTTGTAACCATTTCCTGGTATTCCACATAACTTTGCAAAAACTCTGAAAAAAATTATAGCGTGTTGCCTACTTTTAGGCTGACACCCAAACATCTATTGAAACACAACAAATTGGATTCTTTATTTTTTAATTATGTTGCCTACATCTAGGCTAATAGAAAACTAAATTAAAATAACCCTCAAATTGATAATATAATACAAAAAATGCAAACAGGATTATCAAAACTTACCTTTCTTCCTTATTGGGTCATAGAAACAGAAAGTAAAGTTCGTTGAAAAGTAGAACGAGTCTGTTGAATGGGATTTGTTTTCCGGTTACTGTAACCACTACCACAACTTGTTAATTGTATAATTAACTTTTCTAGAGGGTACTTAGCTGGAGCGTCTATATTATTTATTTACACATGCACATAAGTTTACAGTAATTTCGGTGTAGAACTTTATGTTGAGGAACTTTTTTGTTTTCGTTTTTTTTTTTACAACATTCACTTGTTTACTTTAGCATTTTCCGGAAAACATGGCTTATTATTTAATTTTTTTCGCCGAGATGTTTTCGTTTTCGTTTTTTGTTTTATTTAGGAACAACTTTGAAAAACAAAAGCCTTACAGGCAAACGCCAAGAAGTAGGCCGTGTATTGTGTTTATGTAGAAGGCTTGTAACTCTTTTTTTATATTTTTTGCTATTTAACTGCACTGAAGGCGTGCAGACTTTAATGAGAAAAATAAACTTTTGTAACTTTTGTTTTTTTTTTAACAATTTCAGTTGGGGTGTTACTTTTTATTCTTTAGGTTTTTTATTATTTTTAAATTATTAAAACATTCGGGACATTCTTACTTTCGCTTTCCACCAAAAATATAGATAATTTTGAAATTAGGAAAAAATTAATAGAAAGCGTAGTTCTAAAATTAATAAGCCTCCATGTAATATTTACAAGTTATTTAATTTTATAACCAACATAAAACCAAAAATTATGCTGTATATTTTTTTAATGTCCAATATCGGGCAATTGTGTTTGTTAGTTATTACACTTTTTATGGCCTACTTTTAGGTTGTCGGTGTTTATTGTTTGCTACAAATTTATTTTATTGAAACACTTGCACATAAAACAACATACTTATTGAGGTGTTGAAATTACTAGATTTGTTGTAATGGTATTTTAATTTTGTTCGCTTTTTTCTCTCTCTTGGCCACTTTATGATTTACGACGATAATGCATTTTATGTTGGAAGTTGGTTTTTTCTTGCTTTGATTTTTTGTGTGTTATGAAGCGTTGTTTTTTCTTTCGTTTATACAATATTCAATTAATAAGTTTTTTATATTACTTTCATTAACATTTCCACTTTACGACACTTGCGAACATTTACGTTAAATGGCTTATGGGGAATGCGTAACGTTTCAAACCCGTCAAGTTAATTATTCAGCATGCTGTTTGAGCTAAAAGAAAGAGAGTGGAAAGGAGATAAAGATTTTGGTTAATTGAATTCAAAAATTAATTTGTTGTTCCAGAAATTTGTAGCATACATGTAGGCGGTTAAATAAGACTATCGGAATTAATTGTGGTTATAGATCAGCGGTCGGCACATATACATATGCATTTGTTTGGTCACACAGACACAAAGTGTGCGAGAGTAACTTTCGTTCTCTCGACAAACTTCGCCTGCAATAATACATTGCTACGATCAAAATCATAAAAACAAGCGACAACACAACCACCTTCATCAACAGCTCAAACGGGACTGTTGCGCAGAAAGATTTATTATTTGTTTTCCCCGAAGAAAACACTTTTTGTTTTAATTTAAAAAAAAAGATTTACAATTTTATTTGTTGCTCCGTATGCCGGTTAAAAGTCAACTAAAAAAACATAATTGCATTCCCTTCTTGTAGGGCCACATACAAAACAAATGGAACAAAACGAAATCGAAACATAAAAGTAATAAACGATCAAAACAAAACAAACGACAGTTATTAATAAGTATGTTACATACATACATATAAAACTGTCAACAATGCAGTCAACGACTGATCACTGCATTGTCGTTGTTTTGTTACGACGAAGAAATAGGAAAGCAGTAACAAGCAAATATTCAAACAATATTTGAATATTGTTGTTGTTGCTTTCCTAACAAGACGAACGACAAAAAAGGGCGACACAAAAGGGAACGAAAAACACATTAGAGTGGGCCGATTATTAAAATCAACAAACGACATTAAGGTGGGCCGACAAAAAATACAAAATTATAATAAATTAATTAAAATTTAAAATAATAAAATAAAACATAAAAATATATAAAATGATCTCCTCCAACATCCTCCCCCCGTTGAAATGCCAAAATTTCAAACATCTTCTGGGCTTGGTAAAGGGGCTATTTTATGGATTGGGCGACACGATATTCCATTTTTAGTTTTCAACTCGACCACTCGGACCTTTCCATCACGACCGGGTATTGTTTTCGTAATTCTAGCCAAGAGCCACTGCTGAGGGGGTGTGTTGTCCTCGTGTATGATGACCAATTGTCCTTCATTGACATTCTTCTCATCGGTGAACCACTTTGACCGTTGCTGAGAGACAGAAGGTAATCCCTGGACCACATTTGCCAAAACTGTTGTTTCAGGTACGAAATACGTTGCCATCTATTTAGCAACGATGGTTTGGTAACATCAAGTTGTTGTTCAGGTATTGCCACCAAAGATGAACCAATAAGGAGATGACCTGGTGTCAACGCCTCCCCGTCGTTGGGATCGTCTGACATGGGAGCAATTGGACGAGAGTTCAATATTGCTTCTACTTCGACTACCAGGGTCTGCAACTCTTCAAATGTAAGATACGACTCTGTTATGTTCTTGTTGAGCAACGTTTTTGTGGATTTTACCGCTGCCTCCCACAATCCTCCGAAGTGTGGGGCGCGTGGGGGTATGAAATTGAATTCAAGACCCATTTGACAGCAAATCGATTTCATTTTTTGGACAACTTCATCATTAAAAAATGATTCCTTGAGCTCTTTCAGTCTGTTACAAGCTCCTACGAAATTAGTTGCGTTGTCACAAAAGAGTTTCTGGGGAATTCCACGTCTTCCCACGAATCGTTTGAGACACAATATAAAGTTGTTTGCTGACAAATCCGATACGAGTTCCAAATGGGTAGCTTTGGAACTGAAGCAAACGAAAACTGCGATGTAGGTTTTGTAGGGTGACTTCCCTCGAATCCTGTATGACGTCATGAAAGGGCCACAAAAATCAACTCCAGTTACCAAGAAGGGACGTTGAGCTCTAAGACGATCAACTGGCAAATTTCCCATTATTTGCCCCAACAATTTTGGTTTATAGTGAAAACAATGCACGCAATTTCGAACAATCTTCCGAACTACTTCTCTGGCATTGATTATCCAGATTTTCTGGCGTAAAATGCCCAACAACACCTTTGGACCGGCGTGCAAATGAATTCGATGGAAATGCTCTACAAACAGCTTGACGAATCGATGGTCTTTGGGCAACAAGGCAGGAAATCTTGCATCATACGGAATCGGAGCATTTGTTAAACGTCCGCCAACTCGAAGAATATTAATCTCCTCATTTCCCACTTTCATTTTGTGCAAAAATGGTGTTAATTTTTGCAGAGATGGATGAGCGACGGTCCCACTTTCAATTGCTTGTATGTCCGATGAGTAACATGAGAGCTGGACCAGTGAGATGACCTTCCAAAAGGTGTCTTCAAGTTCCTTAGGAGCTATGTGGACAACATCTTTGACCTTCAACGAACGACTTATGGGACACCTGTTGAAAATACGAAAAACATAAGCAATTATTCGAATAAATTTATAATATGAAGATTGCTTATCCAGAATGTCATTGATGACATTGTTTTCACAGGCTGTGTTTTTAAAGACGGCGGCCTTTCTGCGTTCTGGGACTTCAATTGTCATCTCGTCTTCAGTTCCTGGCCAAGTTGGGACATCTTCTTCTAGAAACGATGGGCCACGAAACCAGATTGTATTCGACAATTCTTGAGCACAACAACCACGAGATACGATATCAGCTGGGTTACTTTTCGTTGGGACATGTCTCCAAATGATGTTTCGAGTTTCTTCTTGAAGTTCAGAGACACGATTTGCCACGAAACAATTCAAAGTTGACGAATGCATTTTGAGCCATTGGAGTACTATTTTCGAATCTGTCCAAAAGTACAACGATGAGACGAAATTTTCAATTTTAGACTTGATTTTGAGCCACGTTTTACTGAGTAACACTGCAGCACACAATTCGAGACGAGGTAGAGATTGGGCTTTGATAGGAGCTACTTTCGATTTGGCAATCAGTAATGTGGTTTTGTACATACCATTTTCTGAGACACGATAATAAATACAACAACCATATGCACGTTGAGAAGCATCTGCGAAACCATGTATTTCGCCATGTCGATTGGACAACGTAAGTACATATCTTGGGACTTCTACTTGATGGATGTACGATAAATCTTCTTTGATTTGGAGCCACAAAGCCTTGAGATGATCGTTTAGAGGATCATCCCATCCAATATTTTGAACCCATAATTCTTGAAGAAGAATTTTGCAACGAATAACGATTGGGCTCAAAATTCCAAGCAAATCGTAGATTTTGGATACGATCGACAAAATTGATCTTTTAGTTGGATTTGTGACATCGGGCAACTCGAATCTATAAAGGAAAACATCTTGCTGAGGTTTCCAGGACATACCTAATGTTTTAGTTATGTCGTTATCCGATGTTTTTATGATGATTTCTTCAACATCATTCGAAGTGAGCGACGCATGGTTGCTATTCCACTTTGCCAATTCTATACCATGCCATTTCAATATTTGGATCAACTCGTCTCTTTTAAGAGCCAGAGTCTCAATGCTATCGGCGCCTGTAAGTACGTCATCGACGTAAAGATCTTGTCGTAAGACCTCCGAACCATGAGGATGAGTTGTGTTGTATTTATCTGCAATGAGAAACAAACTACGAATTGCCAAAAATGGGGCGGCCGATAAGCCATAAGTTACTGTGTTCAATTTGAATACCTTGAGTTCATCATTTTTGTTACTTCTCCACAATACGAGTTGATATCTTCTATCTCTTTCATCTATGCGAAACTGCCGATACATTTTTGAAATATCTGCAGTGAGAGCGTATTTGTGCAATCGAAACGAGAAAAGTGTGGTGATCAGATCCTGCTGAATTGTTGGACCGACCATCAATATATCATTCAAGGAATGATTCGACGAGCTACGAGCTGATGCATCAAATACGACACGAATTTTTGTAGTAGCACTTTGGGGCTTGAGAACACAATGATGAGGTATAATATAGTGCGAATCATTCAACGATTGGGTGTAGGGTGACATATGGCCAAGAGACACATATTCTTCCATAAATTCTACATACATCGATTTCAAAGTAGAGTCACGTTCAAGTCGTCTTTCCAGCGATAAAAAACGTCTACGAGCCATTTCAAATGAGTTACCAAGACATTTAGGAGATTTCTTAAATGGAATCTTCACATGCTTGTTCTTCTTCTGTATATGGGTTGGGTGACTTGGAATACTCCTCAACT